TTTTTTTTTTTTTTTTTTTTTTGCTATTTTCGATAAACTCTTCGGTCTCCCGTGAAAAACTGTTGAAGAAATTATTACAGATAGCCTTTTAAATTTCTAAATTTATATATCGTATGTTTTAAAGAAATCTTAAAGGATTTTATGATGATGTGGTAGGTAAACAGTGACCATCAAGGATAAATATTTGCAAAGAAGAAGAGCGAGCTACCAAGTAAAAAAATTCGTGTTGTATGATAAAGACACTGAAGTAAAAAAGTTGTATACAAATCTTTGTCTCTTTCCAGCATTTAATTACGCGTTAAGTGCAGCTTCGTTCTTATCTGTGATATGCAAAATTGTGATGAATCAAAAAAATTTGTGGTTTTGCGACAGCCTCTAATCGACCCTCAAAGGAAAAATTGAAAGCAGGAGCAAAACTTTCTTTTGCTGCAGGAATGAGGGTGAGGAAAGAAGAGAAAGACGCAAAACAACTCCATTTTTTTATATATTCAAGAGCTTAAAATCTGAAACAAACTCAATGAGTTATTAGTGGAATATATTTTTAAATAAAAAGCTAGAATAAAGTGTAGGATTTGCAGAGTGTAAAAAATTGTTATACTTTTTAAAGCCTGATTTTAATTGTAATGAGACGTCCCAGCAAAGTGATAAAAGTTTGCAGAGGGCGGATTACCCAGCGCACCTTTATTAGTTTACGATACAGATTATGAGGACTAACAAATTTGTTGTAACTCATTACACAGCTCGAATATCTGTTATCTGAATTAAAACGCTGAAATCTGTTGCAATTTTGCTTTACACCCAAACCATTTTTTCCTCACTTCTCTTTTCCTGTTTTACTCAAAAAATTTCTAGAAATTATATTTTAGTTACTTTTTCTCAAATCATATTCTCTAGAATAACATGTAAAGAATACTCCACTAATTCAAATCTGAAAAACACTAAAATACATTTTTTGAAGTAGAACGTAGTAAATAAACTTTTTTTATACTCTACAGTTTCAGCTGTTAATATAGGTCTTTTCAAATTTGAATTGACATTTCATAATATTTGTACAAATTATAAATTTTCCAACATTTTTCACTTAAAAAACGAAGATAAAAAAACTTGAAGTTTTTTTGAAATATCTTAGAAGGCTTAATTTTTAACTTCTGAATTACTGTTTACTCGTTACTAACTAAGCACACTTCATGTTTTAAGAAAAACGTATTGTTGGAAAAAATATTGTTTACAAAGTTAAAGACAACTTACAGAAAAAAATTGATTTAGTGACTAGTAGCTATGTGTTAAAGAAGGAATTTTAGTGTTCTGCTAAAGAAACTTACTCATTGTCACCAAATACCAGTGAATTTGGATTATAACTGACGTCAATGGCACAGGATAGGTTTTGATCGCATTTAAAATTGCCCAGTATGAATCAACAACATCTCCACTTACACAGCCTTGGCAGAACAATTATTCCTTTATTTTACTGTGTTTCTTCACCTCTTTTTTTTATTTTTTACTCAAGTCTGTTTTAATCTATACTGAATGAGTAGTAAAAACAATACAATATGTTATATAAACCAGTTGCCAGTTCAACTTTAATCAGAAATTTTCTTGAAGAATCCGAACTTTGATTGGTCATGAATAGATTCTTAATAGCGGAATTTATTTTCGTTCTTACTGTTGCTGCACATTTGGTTAGCTGTCAAGTGCCTATTGGTGGCTTCACTTATCTGGATTCAAATAGCCAGGAAGTTCAGGTAATTATACACTGTAAAATACTAAATAAATTTTTTCTTTTCAACATTAAATTTTTACCTCTTGAGATTACTTGATAAAAAAAGTGTTTCTACACAGGGATATATATCTGTAAAATTCGCATCTGAGTATCTTTTTCAATGTTTAAAAGTTTAAGACATTAAGGAACTGGCAAATAAGGCAGTGGCTAAACATAACGCACAGCGTAATGGAGCCTATTATATGATGCAGATTCAGGTTTTAAGCGCAAAACAGCAGGTTGTAGCAGGAACTAATACTGTGCTCGAAATTCTAGTTCAAGAGTCAACATGTGAAACTGGGGTAAATTGTCCAATTAACTTCATTCTCAAATACTTATTTAATTAATTGACGTAAAAGCAAAAATATTTCAAATGTTTAACTGAAACCCTACGCTGTTGATTTTTTGATAGTATTTAAACTCCACAAATTGTCTTTAAACTTTAGATTTAAAAATACACGGCTTTTCTTGAAAGGTTCTTCCTCTTAACGAGCAAAAAAATAGAAGGAAAGTTTTAAAACGTCTTCTGAAACAATGTGTTACTTTGAAATTTTCATTCTTGTTCTTAACTTGAAGATCCCGCTAGCGAACGATTATTTAATATATTTAAACAAAGAAAGTTTTGCTATTACAAAAAACACTAATTATTTTTGAATTAATTCTTCAAAAAAACATTTTGTTTTAACCTAGTAATAGACTAATTCATGCGCAAAATTAACATTTCACATTTAAAACGGTTACAGAGCGTAACTCCAGAAAACGTCCAAGCCAACAATTGTTCACCTCGCCCTAATGGGCAACAAGAGGTAACTGCTCAACGTTCATAACTTTAGATTATATTATTTAAAACCATTAGAACCTAATTAAAATTATTATCCGTTATGTGAGTTATTGTCAATCCCAACATCACATAAAAATTTAAACAATTCAAACATAAGTGATTTTCAGTTGTAACTTTTTTTACCTTTACGATGATGTCTCAGACAAAAGATTTTCAATTTCCAAAAAACCTGATCATTTATCAATGATAAACTTTTAAAAACAGTATTGAAAAAACGCTTAGATTGTTCTTTCCATTTTCTAATAAATGAGAATGAAGCGTCGTGATAAAATACGTTTTTTGTCCATTTAAAAGAGGTTGCTATAAAATTTATAAACCAGTACGTCAACTAAAAATCTTTTTTTATAAATTAGCTACCAAGTTTTGGTCAATAAAAATTTTGATCTGCTATCAAATCATTACAAGAATTTAATGCTTTACAGCTGATTTATTTCTGCTTTTGTTAATAGGTCATTACGGCATCTATTTGGCAAAAAAAATGGGAGAATTTTGAGGAAATTAAAATTGAAGAAACCAGGCAGGTGTAATCGCCTCTGCTCGGATTAAACCTACGTCGTTATTTGAGATCTAACGATGGCACTGCTCACCATAGAATGAAAGTGAGGATAATTACTTAACAGCTTACAATAAAGAAAGCTTTGCATTCATCTTTTTTGTTTCTTTACATCAGGTAGTCGCTGTAGCTATCAGACAGGCTCTTTTTAATCGAAGAGTGAACACCATATCACTCCTCTACAAACCGCTGAAAGCTACTAATCCTTACAGTTCTTCACCAACAGTCCCGACGCTTACAGTACAAGCTAGTAGATGGTTTAATTTTCCTTAATCCTGCTAAGTAGACGACGACAACTGTGTATTGAACAACTAAGCAGTCTAAGAAATTTTAATTCAATAACACAAGGTCAACTGACAGTTACCGTACGAGACATACGTCACCAGATAGTTCAATAACGTTTATCAATTCAAACTTTACAGCAGTAATAACGAAAAATCCTAAACAAAATATAACCCTAAAAATACAACTGCCTAAACACCGAACAAACAATATCATGGAAAAGAATGGTGTAAGCTTAAAAAAAACTATTAGTAAACTCAAAATACATTGCTGGGCACACAGAGCAATAAAAAAGAAGCAAATTTTAACTGTGGAATATAGCCAAAGCTGAGATCGCAAATTAGAGAAAGACTGGACCGAGGTCTACTGTAAAAGAACTCCAAGTGTTTTTTGAACGAAAATCACACAACGATAATCAAAACTTTGTCGGTTGACTGCTTATTATGTAGGCCGTTTCGATCATCACTGTTACATTGTCGTGTTGCCCTCTCGTTTGTTTTCGCTACATCGCGGCGGAAAACAGACCAGTAGAAAATGGCTACCAGTTATATTGCCAACAAAAAGCAACATTTGTTATGTTTTTTAATCCTTCTTTACCTCTCCTGCTGGCTGCAAAAAAATCTGCGAGACCGTCTTAAACTGTCGCGAACGTGACATGTTCCATGGTCAAAATTCTTATTATGCGGGGCATCTGGCGTCAGAAAAAGAAAAGTTTGAATCAAACGATTGCGTCCGAGATTAGTTCTCACACCTTGCGATGGAGATTTTTTTGAGGATACAAGGCTCTCTCTTTATGGTTAATTAACTTTATTATTATTAATTTGCTGGTTCAGTAATCAGTCGGGTCGTTTCTGAATATTTCCTCGTCGATAACGACTTCCAAAGCAGAGATTTTTTCTTTTCTTTTCTTGTAAGAGGAATCCAGAGATTTGACCTTTGTGTGGGCTAATCTTCATTCCGTTCCTTTATTTCGGCGGTTGTTTTCTATATTATTCCTTCCGACTCTTATTATTTCTCTTTTTTTTCTTTAGAATAAAATTTTGTTTTTTGGACTTGGTTAATCATAATTAAAGTGCGCGAGTACAATCCTTTAAACAGGATATATCAAATTCTCCCCTAAAAAGGCACCAGCTTGATAATCTAATTTTCACTCTGTATAAACGGTAGTACCTCTTCCAGTGCTACTTTTTACGAAACGACATTTTTGGCTAGTAAACATCTTCTTTTGAGGAGAGATTTTAGTTTTTGTCAATGACAGCATTTAGATGGCATATGCAGCCTCAGCTCCAATGTGCTCTCAGAAAAGTTATTTCACAGTTTCACATTCATAAAGCAAATAAACTATAAAAATTTATATTTGGGAGTAGCAGTGCAATCAGAAGGAAGAGGTGCAACGTTAACGGACCAGCAAAGATTGTGAAAATAACCAGGTTATTCCTCGCGATTGAAAAGGTCATTTCGCTGAAATCACTTTTCTTTATCAGGCCTTCCTTTTTACCGCGGGACGAACCATAGAAATGAGGAAAGGAAAGGAAGACAAATTTGAATTGAGGTGAGAAAATAACGGGTGACTGATTTTGACAGTCGTTAGACGCCAAAGTACAGTCAGATACGCCATGGTCCTCTGCGTAATCTCGAAGCAAAACCCATAATTTTATTTGTTTCTTATCCGAGGTGTTAAAATATCGTTTATAGGAAAGAATGCGATAACGTAACTTTCATTCAACTCGCTTTCTTTCGCTTTAGAGCAATTCATTTGTTGAATCCAAGTTAGAAAAAAAAAATATTTCAACCCCACTCCACTTTGTTTTCGCTCTTTCGTTTTCCATCCATTAATACTTAAATCATGGCGAATGGTAGGAATGACTAGAAACGTTGGAATTTTGCTCGCTTTCCTTTGCTATACGTAATCACTGTACTGCACCTCCTGTAAGTTCCCTCTGATATGACTCACGATAGGCTCTGCTCGTCGATCCATGTCATCAGTGCTGTTGCCCTGCGATGAAAATGTGAGGAATCTTCCCCTTCGTTTTTAGAGGATGAAGATTTTTATAAACTATATGGAGAAATGGTGACGAATAAGAAAGAATGAAAATCTGCGTTGGTTATTTTCAGAAATTCTAACTTTTAAAGCTGAAGGTGATGTATCCTGAGAGGTATTTTTGTCACCATCAGCAATTCTTTCAATCAGAAGCATCTGCTGTAATACTTCTTTATAACCTCCTATAAATTCTTCTTGCTACATTTTCGCACTCTGAGCAACTGAAAGTCGCCAAATTTTACGAGGCCACACTTTAGTTTTCGGAAAACCAGCTTTAAAGATCAGCATCACTGACAACTTTGACAAAGCATTTTAACGCATGTGTTGGTACTCGTGACATGTTGCATAACTGCATACGCAGTGTAACATTTTTATTACTTAACTTTTCCTAAGACACTGCAGTTCGAGAAAGATTTGAGGCAAGAAGGATTCCAATATTGTAGTTATAAATAGGAGGATCGTTGAACACAGGACCCCACCTGATATAACTGTGACAAAGAATTATTTAAGCAACGACTATGAATGAAAGCAAGAGGGATTCCAGTATTGTAAATTCTCAGAATGAAATTAATAAAATTTAAAATATCTTAGATAAAATATCTCAACTATCTTAGACACTTCAGGATTCCAGCAGTTAACAGCAAAAGTTTCAGGCTAACAGCTTAACGCTAAAAAAACTGTTGCAAAACACTGCTTGTAGTGTTCTTTAAAATATTTAATGAACGAATATGGTTAGAAATCTTTATTTATTTAAAATTATTCAGTTAGTAAACAAGTAATCGTAGTCAGCGTCGAGTATCAAGAAATGCGCTTATGCTTGTTTCGCCTCTTGCAAATTAATCTCTTCAAAGTTCTCCCATGGTCTTCGATAAATATTCACCGTAATAATCTGTTGATAAAAGAACATACATAACACTAATAAATCAGGAAAAATTTAGTAAAACTACAAGTTCTCGATAAATTTATTTGGTAGTGGACGTTAAACAATTTTCATTATAATCGGTTTCAGTGTCTTCTGAATCCCCTGTTAAACTAAGGTTCACTAAGGACTGTAAAATTTCTAAAAATTGATCTGGAGGGTACAGTTTGCCAAAAAAAAAAAAGTGAAAATTTTTTTACCATTTCTCTTTTTGAGAAATACAAAATCAAG